AATTAGGCTCAGAGCATTTCCTAGAAATCCGGTAACGGACAGAAAAAAGTTAAAAACTGAAACAAATTTCAACTGGCCGTGTAGTCCAGCAGTTAAATTTGGCGAACAAGTTAAGTCTTCGACTGTTTTCTGCTGTCCATCTCCAGTAAAGTTAGGTGTTGCCATACCGATCTGCAATATAGCTATTTGTAGTTTATCCGCAAACTGGAATCACTAGCGAAACTTCTCAGTGTAGTAAATTACGAAGCTGCTCAGCAACTGACAAACAATCGAAACACCTTTTATGGCGCTTGTTATCTCCTAAAACATGTCAGTACGTGGAAGATAATTGACAGTTTGGAAAGAAAACTTAACTTGCCTAGCAGCTGGTTTACTGTCAGACTCTGAAGACGGACTGACGAGAGAAGCGACATGCTTCAGTTACATAGTAGTAAGAGGATAAATATGTGGAATCAAATGGTGACGCGTGAAATTGGATAATAATTTCGCGCGCGTTTTGTTTAGGCTCGGGAAATTTTCAGAATTTTGACAAAACGCAAGTGAATTATTTCCTAATTTCAAGAGAAAACCATTTGTTTAAGCTGAAATTTCGCGCTAAAATTAAGGAGTAATTTGTCGCCCATGATATTAGAGTAAGAAAGAGTAAGACTTTATTAAAGTGACTGACTCTTAGCTGCATAGAAAGCTACTTTACAGGTCTAGTGTCAACATAAGTAAGAAATGAAATAAATTTTAATGAATAATATTAAAAATGCATAATTACTGCTGAAATCGATAAAATATAAAAATACATCCACCGTTTTTTTCTATAAAAAAGAAGTACTATTGAATTAGCCCTATATGATTTGTGATTTTCGATTTTCTACCCTTAGGAAGCTGTTTTGTCTCAGGTTTTTCACAATACGGATATTTGTAGTTTTAGCTGCAGGGTGTGAACAGAAATCATTAAGTACCACTAAAGGTTTTTTTTTTTGCACTTGCTTAACTATCCCTGCCCCACTCCACGAGAGTCTTGATCCTGCACAAAAGGCGAATTTCGTGAGAGTGCCAGATCGCTAAGATTACTTCAACTTCTGTGGGGAAACGTTACGTTTTATTTGTTAAGATCTTGTGGCTGAAATTATCTGAAATCTAGGGTCCAAGCGAGCACACATGACAACATACACGGCATCAGTGCGTTGGGTTTAGCAAGGTTTGGCCTGGTTGAACGTTTTTAATTTTTATAGGCACTCAAGAAGCTTGAGTGGCTCCTGGCTATCGTTTTCTTTTCTACTTAATAGCCTCCTGTGTATATCCGTAGCTCCATGGCGCTGTGAAATAAGTGATTTGTTTTTTTCTGGTCACAAGACTGTATTGCATATTCTACATGGTGGATAGTAGAAGCTGGCAAGTACTACTGTCTTCATACTACAAGCCTGGTCAAGATCTCTTTTGCTTCATCTTGAGATGGAGTCAGATCAACCTGATGTATGCCTAGTCGGCCATTTCAATCTCTACATTACAGACAACATGCTGACGTACTGGGCTATTTGGTCTGCAGCAAGCTACTCTTCTTTGCTGGACATTTTCCTGTCACTACTGTCTTGCAGAGTCTCATCTTACTGCACTCATCCACTACACTTTGCCCTGTCCCCTCACCTTCCAAGAATGTTTTTTTCGGATGTGTTCACTTTCTCAGAAAAGCGGGTTCCTCTTCGTGATGTTCTCAGACCCATCTCATTGA